TTGTAGCTATCCCATGCACCCTGACAGCAAATTTGTACGTAAGTCTGGTGATTCAACCTGCTCTGCTGCTAATCAAGAATAACATTCAAGGGGATGTTTCCCAACAGGATAATGCTCAACTTCATACTGTTGTTGTAATCCAACACGCTCTACAAAGTATCAACATGTTGCCTTCGTCTACCGGATCATCAGATCTTTCTCCAGTCGAGCACTATGGGACATCATTGGATGACAACTCCAGCCTCTTTTGTATTATTGTCTGTGTTACTAACTTGTATTTTCTTATTTTTACTTTCAACATTTAACAACATTTGATGAGAAAATCATTCTGGTTACCTTTCCTTGATGAAATCCACAGGATATTTGGAATTTTTGCCATTTTATAACACAGAAATCTTTATTTACAGCAATCAATTTGTTTACTTACAGATCAATTAAATTAAATTGCTTCCCAGACATTAACATTCATCTTTCTATCATTGTCACTACATCTCAATCAAAAAAGATAATAATAAACATAAAATAAAAAAGCTACACCCTCTCGTGGCCAGCAACATGAAACTAACAGCCTCATCCACGATTAGCATTAAACCTCACCGTATTGACTGACCAAGTCCAACAGGCATGGAACTCCATCCCACAAAATTACATACGGCACCTGTTTGACACAAAGCATTCATGTTTGCATTCAAAATTCTGGCAGTTACATCAACTAGGGGGAGGGAACGTCGCAGCGTGCAATGAACTGGAAGATCTGTTAGCACTATCCTCATCTTCAGAGCAGATGTCTTTATATCATTCGGCTTACAATTCCTTACTAAGTATAGTTTATCATCTCGATATACTCCGATATGATTTAAATCAATTTCCTCGTCATTATAAATATCCCGAATACACATCAAATAGTTTTCTGGTTGCAATTTTCTAATTTCGACTATGCGTAATGTATGCTTTATGCATGCACGCGTTGAAAGAAATGTTGGTACTTTTCCGTTTTGCTGGCGCAAACGATAAAGTCGCCAATAATGGTACAACTGATGCCAAATGGAATATCTTCGCTGGTAACCTTTTACGCTTCATTTTCAAAACACGTCGCAGCCATTTCTTATCAGATTGATTGTTTCTTTCAATACTGGCATTCAATTACCGTAATTTTGCACGTATAGTCCGCAGACACGATTTTATATAAAAAAAATTTCAAAAATCGTCAGATAGTCCGCGGACTATACGTCCGAAATTACGTTTTTTTAATACGGCAATATTCCCATGCTTTTTAAACACATCCTTTTGTTAGCGCCAATTTCTCACCGCTTTCTCGTCCAATTCAAAATAACGGGGTAAAATCCTAGTATACGGTGCAGCCTTAGCGCGACTTTGAAAATTATTGCCAACACCAAAAATGATCCAAAGAATGCCTATATATATAGTATACACACATAGTATATACTATGTCTAACTATATATTTTCTTTGAATGACCCGTTAACTACTCATCGTATATGTCCCGTTTTCACTGCTCATCATAAAATCGCCAAAAGTAGCCAAATCCCGTGTGCACCGGATATTAGGATTAAACCAATAACGGCCCGCTTCTCTATTTCATCATTTTCAGCTTTCTCAACTACCTTGAGTTTAACTCAGCAGTAAAAACTTCGCCAATGTTTCATCAACGTTATCGAAGATGAAAGACAAAATACGAAACAAAATACTGTGCAACGTGCTATACTCATGATAAGTGGTAATGAAATGTGACCTTCGACCCCACTCACTCGGTGTTGCCGAACCACGCTTATAAGTAAACGAATCACGCTTTTTTTTTCGTACTCCAGGTACTTGCTACTATGGCTCCTAAAAACCGAGCTGACGCATCAATTACTTTTCCCCCCTCCCGGCAGTTGCGCTAAAGCAGTGCGAAGGATACTGGGATACAAAACTCTGGTTGCGCTAAGTGAGTGCTCATACAAGACTTTCTTTGGCTCATATCTCGGCATCGCTTGATGCGCCAGCCTGGATTTTAGGAGCTCTACTTGCTACTACTCATTCGTTCTGCACTATGCTCTATGGTTTACTATCGATACGATACATACGAATGTTTTCTTGGAATCTCGCGCTTTTTTTATATTTGATCATCGGCAGTTCACGACAGCGTGTTTTTTAAATTTCAACGATTTTAACCGTGAACAACCAGCGTATTATCCGCACTGGTGGATAGTCCGCAGCTTCAAAAATTCGCATTTTAAACACAGATAGTCCGCGGACTATACGCGCGAAATTACGGTACATAGAATTTTTACGAGATAATTAAAAATTGTATGCCTTAAGACCATTCGCGGTAATTAAGTCAATTAGGAGGCAATCACACCGCTCACCCTAAGACGAAAATATAGAAAAAGCAAAGTCAAGAATTAAATTCATCAATTCTAACGAGAATGCACTAGCGAAGTAAAGCACTATGGTTTTACATATTTTCTGAGTAAGCTATTCGTATGAATTGAAATAATTCTTGCATTTAAACTTGTATTCCAAATTAAAATTTAACTTGAAATTAATGTAGATAATTACTGAGAGAATTAGATTTTTGTAGTTTACGTGAGATGAGATCACTTGGGGTCACATGATACGAACCGGCGAATCAGGCTGTTGAACCATGAAAGCATAATAAATTCTTAAATTAATGCCTTTTTACAAATTGTCTTTATTTATTGGCTTTTTACAAAATTTTAAACCATATTAAAATGTTTATGCCTTCAAAATAAAAAATTCTATGAACTAACATTTTTATGTGTATACTGCATACTGTCACCAACAAAGTCTGCTTGGCGAGATGTGCGCCGGCAAAGCGGAAAAGTACCGAAATGTTTAATAAAGTAAACAAAAGTTTTTTTTTTTTTTTTTTTTTTTTTTTTTTTTTTTTAATTTTGATACTTTTTAGATCAGAATTGCTCTTTATTTCAGAAATTACAGTTTCATATTTTTAATTGTATATAATTTCTGCATGCCACCTTACCAGATTTAAATTGAAGATCTACAATCCGGAAAAACCCCTAATCCTGAATCGCCGAAGTCCCGACGAGTCCAGATTAAAGACTTTGTACTGTATATATTATTATATAACACTTAATACTTTACATTTGCTCTCCCCATGGGAACAGCTTTAGTATTGGTCCTTTTGGCGATTTTTTGATTTGGCGACAAACTTCGGTCGCCAAGGTAGACCCGGCTTTGGAGATCGGTAAACAATGGCGGATTGTCAACAAAACCCGACTAGACTAAATAACAATCCTAAAAAAATAAGCTCTTAATCAGAATAAACAGTCTTTCTCTAATTTTCAACATTTCTAGTACTGCTATGATAAATTCCTAAAACACTACCATAAATGAATTTATGGCAGTGATTATGAGTAATGAATTTACAAAAGGCTAATATTTTAAATTACAAAATGTAATATTAATGTATTAAACATTAATAAGAAGCACTTCCGCAGAGAACCCGGTAAATGTAAACATCGCCAACTTTGGCGATAATAGTTCTAACTTGGTAACCCTTCGGATTAATCCCATTCGCTTGCTCGAAGTTTGCAATCCTTCCTCTTGCGTTTATTTTGTTGAATTAAGACTGTCGTTGTTCGCATTTGCAGATTTATATTCTTCTTCTCTTATTTATTATTATTTTTTCTGAATTTTTTAATAACGAATAGATAGAAATATTTTCGTAGATAGATGCCGGTTCTCGGTTCAGGATGAAAGGAGGGGTGAATGCTAATTTGTAACACGGCTGTTCACGTTGTGTTCTTAATTATTAACAGCTCTAAGAACCATGAGGTTTCCAAAGTCTAAAATAATTTGTTTTCGTAGACCGTAAAAATGTGCATGTGCATTTTAAATAATTAAGTAATGCTTTTATTTGTATTATTGGTTATTGTCATCTAAAATTATGAGAATAAAGCAATTTTTATGGCGTAAAATTTTAACAAGATAATATATTGTTAATGCTTTTCTAACAATAACCTTTCAGAGGATGGCAGGTGTGGCATAAATAGGTGATTAAATTGAAATAAAAAAATATTGATTATCTAAGATAATAGAATAGTTTGATGCACCACCATGGTTATCAAAATTAGCAAACAACTGCTGGTGTAAGGAATATATTGTTTTCTGTGTTAACTGGAATTTAAGACAAATTTTTTTCGTATATCACGTTTAACCGGTTAATTTCAATATATTAATACTAATTTATATTTTTTAAATGAATTTTTATTTCCATTATAAATGCTTATATATTGTCTTATGCTTAATAATATATTCTTTTCTGTGCTAACTTGAATTTAATACAAATTTATTTTCGTATATCACATTTAACCCTTTAGTTTTACATCTACATGCATATTATCTGTGAATTTTTACTACCATATGCTTAATATATTGTTTTATCTGCTAACTTGAATTTACATGCACTAAAAATCACGTTTACGGCTCGGCTCATCGTCGATGAACCGCGAGCTTGGCGAGTAAGAATGCAACGGCGCCAACAGGTTCTTTCCCGAAGCGCCAACGGGTTCTCTGCGGATGAAAACCCATGGGCAAGTTTTGTACCAGTGTTATAAATACTTTTATGATTAAATTCTGTAAATGGTAAAAATATTAAGAAATGTGTATCTATTTTCACACAGTAATCTATTTTCACTTACAAAATCATCAGAGAACAGTTTAAATAAAAATATCACATCAAATTGTTGTTAAAACAGAAACAACATATTAGATACTTGTCAAAACAAAAATATATCATATTATTCACTTAGGATATACTTTAGCTCAGAGATTTAGACATATGTGCAAAATTTCAGGCATTTCAGCAAAATTTCTCTTTTAGTTTAACCCAGGAAAATGAAATAAACCTTGGATATTAAGGTATCGTAGCTTCGAACACATAATACTGTTCATAATTAACGCATTTGAATACCATTCTTCTCATCCAAATTCTTCTTAACATTTTCAACTTACCATCCTCATCGTCAACTTCAAGTCTTGATAAATAATCATTAGTTCTGACAGATGTACTTTCAATAGAAGACATATTTATTCCAACACAATTATTAACAGTAAAGAACACTATGGTAAAATTCTAGTATACGGTACGGCCTATACGAACAGTATTTAAAAATAAATGTCACATTAAATTTTATTTAGTTAAAATTTCCGTAATTCACAAGTTTAAACATGAAAACAGAGAGAAAATACATCCTACTCCCGTCAAAACAATTATCACGAACATTTCATACAAACATTAGCGACTGTTATAACTGTTTGAAACCTGGCAACACTCAAATATAGCTGCCTATTATTAAATGGATCACAAATTTAACCAGACGTCTAGTTAAAAAATTTCATAGTAATATTTGGGACAAATTTTATAATATTATTTAAAATATACGTTAAAAAATTTCTCAAACTGAGTTAGAACAATGTACTGAAACCGGATGTTAATTCAAGAACTCTGTTCCTTTTCACAACCGTAACCTTCCTTTTTCGATTACTGTATAATTAATTTTGCTACAAAATATTAATTTTTAGTTTTGAAACCATAGATCTTATAATTTGTACCATGTAAAGCGTTTTGCTTGGAAATATATAGTTCGCTGTGATTTAGCATACAATGTTTGTATACGGTAAATTATGTAATCACCCAATGACCCGAATTTTCGTCTGTTCATGAGAGGAAGCATTATTAAAGGAGTACTTGAAATGTCATCCTCTGAAAACAGTTTCAAAGTAGAGGACATGTGGTGCGAGCTGAAATCAGGTATTGAGCAAATTTATGCAAATAATGTATCTAAGACGGATTATTTACGACTTTATACTCTAGTGTATGATCTTTGTACTGTCGCAAATTACGGATGTACTTCGTCTAATAATCATCAGTTGCATTCAAGATTGACTCATTTCTTTCGAGCTCATCTACAAAATGTGTATGAAAAATGTGAAGATTTAATAGACGAATCACTTTTGCTTCATTACATGCAACTGTGGCAAGATTATCGTTTTTCTAGTAAAGTTTTAGGTGGAGTATGTGCTTACTTAAATAGACATTGGGTCAGACGCGAAAGAGAGAAAAGTCGAGTTGAAGTCCTAGAAGTTTATCACCTTGCATTATTATCATGGAGGGAGCATCTCTTGGAACCTCTGAAACGGAGAATGTCAAATGCTGTTTTAAAGCTGATAGAGAAAGAAAGAAATGGTGAAATTGTCAACACTAGACTCATTAGCATTGCTCTAAATTCATACATTGAAGTGGGAGTCAATTGTGCTGATCCATATTCTAATGAGCCAAATTTATTTTTATACAAAGAAGCATTTGAAACAGCATTTTTGTCAGAAACTGAAAGGTTTTATGCTACAGAAAGTGCTTGTATTATTCGCAAAAATCCCGTATCTGAATTCATGAAAAAAATTGAAACTTGGTTTCAGGATGAACAAAGGAGGGCTCAGGTATATCTCCATGAATCAACTCTGGATGCCTTGGTCAAAATATTAGAAAGTGTTGCTATAGGAAAATATATCGAAACACTGCATTCAGAATTCCAAACTTTATTGACTTACAATAAATTAGAAGATTTAAAACGGATGTATAAATTGCTTTCTCGTGTGTCAGGTGGTTTATGTCAGCTTAAAAAGCAGTTTCAGGATTATGTCGCGCAGCAGGGTCTCGAAGCAGTGGAAAAATACAATGAAGCTGATATGAGTGATCCTAAAGCGTACATAAATGCTATTCTAGAAATCCATCAGAGGTACAATGCTATCGTAATTGTGGCTTTTGATAGTGAAGCTGGTTTTGCTACTGCTTTGGATAAGGCTTGTGAAAAATTCATCAATAAAAATGCAGTTACAGAAAGTAGTGGCTCTTCCAGTAAATCTGCTGAACTGTTGGCTAAGTATTGTGATCTCTTGCTGAAAAAGAAACCTAGTGATGCTGAAGAAATAGAAGTGGTAGATAATTTGGTTCAAGCTATGATAATATTTAAATATATTGAAGAAAAAGATATTTTTCAAACCTTTTACAGCAAAATGTTAGCTAAAAGGCTTGTGCAACAGGCAAATTCATCGAATAATGATGATGCTGAGACAATCATGATTGCCAAGTTAAGAGAAGCCTGTGGTTTTGAATATACTGCAAAGTTGCAGAGAATGTTCCAGGATGTTTGTGTAAGTCGAGATCTCAACGAACAGTTTCGAAAATTGGGAGAACTGGATCTCGATTTCACCATCAATGTCATTAGTTCATCATCATGGCCTTTCCACCAGTCTCTGCCATTTTCCTTACCCCAAGAATTGGAGCAAAGTGTTCAGCAATTCACAAATTTTTATTGCTCCCGTTATAGTGGAAGAAAATTACATTGGTTACATAGTTTATCCAGAGGAGAGTTGGTTGCTAAATGTTATGACAAGCCTTACACATTCCAAGCATCTACATTTCAAATGTCTGTTCTCTTGCAATTTAATATGGGGAACAAATTTTTAGTTTCACAACTGGAAGAGAGCACTAGCATCCGGTTAGACATTCTTCTTCAAATATTACAAGCTCTTATTAAATTTAAATTGTTAAAAATAGAAAAAGAAAGTGTCCTGACACAATCATCTACAGTCTCATTATCTCTTGCATACCGGAGTAAAAAACTGAAGGTGAATATCAATGTACCCATAAAATCAGAAGCAAAATGTGAACAGGAATCTGTGCAAAAGTGTGTGGAGGAAGATAGAAAACTGCTTATTCAAGCTGCTATTGTAAGAATTGCAAAAACTAGGAAGGTAGTCAAACATCACATTTTGCTGTCTGAAGTTTTAAATCAGCTCTCTCACAGATTTAAGCCTAAGATACCTATCATCAAAAGATGTATTGATATATTGATTGAAAAAGAATATCTAAAAAGAGTTGAAAAAGATTCCTATTGTTATATGGCATGATTCCGTTCCTCCATCATACATTGCTGTATGTATCTTGAAATTCCAAATTAAAGTGTAAAAATGTATTTAGCAGCATTCAAATTGAAAGATATAAATATTTGTATATTTTGCTCATTTCCATCAATCAGATGTCATGTTGAATGAAGTCTTTTTAATGTGCAATAATGATAAATGTTACAGGTGAATTGTTTAACTTTTATTTATATGTAGATTTTGCGATTTTTATATTGAAAGGGGATTAATACCTGACAGAAAGTTGATTTTTTTCATCCAAATCGTGTATAACATACTCATGCATTAATAGACCTTTAAATTTGGCACTTTATGAAAGTATATTATCTTTTAGTTCATATGAATGAATTGATCTGAAAAGTATGCATAGTTTTCACATTAATGAAATTAATTGTGTTTTTAGATATGTGAAATCTATATTATTGTCTACTAGTTACATTTTCAGTGTCGAAATCCTGTACAGTCATTACTGAAAGGTGACATTACTACTGATAGGAATAAAAGGAAAATATACTTTGGTTATATTTGTTCCCTTGCCTTAATTGTATAAAATACATTAAGCTCACCTTGAATATACTTTGCTGTTAATACATGAATAATTTTTAAATAAAAGAAATCAGTATTTTCACTACCTTATGTGGAGGACCTCTTGTAATAATTGTTGGTACTTTTCTGTTATGGGACTGAATTCAGAAATATATGTATGTGTATGTATACAAACACCTATATACACACATATGCATACTTAATTTCTGAATCTAGTACCAATAACAGAAAAGTGCTTATTTTTTTATTGTTATAAATAGGCTGGCTGTGACGTCATTAATTTTATAGCTTTCGAATATCTCTGTGCAAAAGTACGAGAACCACAATGTACAAGTTCAGAGTACAGTCTAAAGAAAAAAACATCAAAAATATTACCCACTTAACACTGTGAACAGCTAGGAGAGTTCAAAAGTCTTTTTCAGTAAAGATAGGCTGTCAAGCAATTATGTCCTGTTGACAAATAGAACAAAGTAACCAGTTCCTTTAGGACAGTCTAGCGTCTTCCAAATTTCTTCCAGAATAAGTTTTCAGGTTTTATTCACTTCATGAATCTAGCAATACATTTCCATTTGGTCATCAGAGCTACCATAATGAATTCATTCAAAATTATGTAATTACTACCATCATAATTCACGTACGTTTTTTTACATGCAAGATATGTATGTTGAGAATGAACAAGCAAATGTACCTTTATGGTTTTCATATTTTACTTAGAATTTTTTAAAGTTTCTAAATCTTTGGGTTGACTTTCAATTGAGGGTATGGGTGTTGACAAATGTGTGATCTATAATGAAGTAGTATATTCAGGTATAAAAATAATTAATAATACAAAAATATAAACATTGTTAGAATATTTTTTTATATTATAGTTTATCCTTACTGTCTCTAAGTTCAATTTATTACAAGTAACCTGAGAATCATCCACCTAAAGAGGGATTTTCTTGTGAAGAGTATTTTTAGTAAGAGAAAATTCTTTTATTTAACTTGGTAAGCATGTGTTATGCTCAGTTGCTCCATCATCATGCTAAATTTTAGTTATCTCATTTTCTTCCATTATTTTCAAAATTGCTCTGATTTCTTAGAAATCCAACATGCAAGTTTTTTTCCCAATTATTAATAAAATTTAATGGACACTCTTAACCACCTTATAAGAGGTTTAATTCTTAGAGAGTTAGTAACATTCCTTATGTTTCTAGTTTAACATACCATAGCACCCAAAGGTGTTCGATGTTTCAGTGAAATATTGCTTTATTCATTAATAAAATTTAGTATTTGAAAATGAGAATTTTTTTATACTATCTATAAATTTCTCTTAGCAAAACTACATAAATTATTTTATGAATATAGTAAAACTTTTTAGTCCAAAGGTGCAATTTACCTTGAAGGACTATGAATTTCGTTTTGGCATTTTGCATTGTTTCACTGTAAGTGTGGGTTCACTTTTCAAATTGTTACCTTCAAATATTATCACTCTGTATTATATTTAAAGAAATTAAATAATGAAGAATCTCCATAAGTGTATGTATGTTTCTCGCATTGGGATAAAACAACGGTACCTAGAGCCATCAAATTTTGAATAACATAATCTTCTACCAAATATGGTCATCTGGAAGCCCAAATTTGAAATTTGTTTTATTATTGATTTCATATTTTGTAACCCTTTAACAAATTTTTTATTAACAAAACTCAACAGTTTCAAAACGAGCAGTGGCAACACTGTAAGGAAAAAAAACTTTTATCTTCAGCACACGAAACTATGCATCGAAAAATCTAAAGCTTTGCTCATTTAAAAAATTATATTGCTTTTGAATTGAATTTTATGATTTAAGTGCAAAGAACATGATATTTAATAAATAAAGTTAACACATAAAATGTTAAAGAAACATTTTTTTTTTTAAATCAAAAATTAACAGAAAAATTACCTCACAAAAGTCTTAGAATCTATGCATATTGGTAAATATTGTAGTATTTCTGTCAGTCAGTATTTTGTAGGATACAATGACATGACGCATTTATGACATCTTTCAAATGTCTGGCCATAGAGTTAATCAATTTGTTTTTTTGTAATATTAGCCTCAGTATTCCTCCATTCTTCTGTCATTACTGTTTTTAGTTCAATTTTTGTTTTAATGTGTTTTCATACTTTGATTCTCTCCAAATGTGTTCTGTTGGGTTTAAATCTGATAACTGAGGTGTGGTAGACACACCGAAGGCAAATGTTGAGGGCCGTGTGCTTAGGATTGTTATCCTGATAAAAAATAAAAGTTGTTTCCAATACCAAAGTTTTGAGAGGAAAATTTTTAATTATCTTTTAAAATATTTAAAGAAAGAGCATAGTTCTATATGTCCTCAATAAATACTAAATTAAATCTTGCTGCTGACATGCATCCCCAGACAAGGACACCTCCACTGGCCATGCTTTACCGTTCGAATAAAAGTCTTGGGATTAAGCTTCTCCATTTTTCTCTTCTGCATACTATTATATGCCCATCAGTACCCAAAATGTTGTTTGCTTTTTGACATGATTCCAAGACACTTCATGCTTATTTACAATTAATTTTGCAAAGCTAAGCTTTCTATGTTTTGCATTTCCTTCCAGGAGAGTGCCGATGTAATCCAGCTGATGTGAGTACTTGTTGAAAAGTTTCATGTGAGAAATAGAATTTTCATTAAATTCTGTAGAAATCTTCATAGGACTCAAATATGGATTTTTCACAAATTTTCTTACTATAAAATCTCTGATTTGCTAGATGACATCTTACTTTATTCTCAATCTGATTTTCTTCTTTAAAGCATACTATGGGATAAATTTACTAATTTAGTGATATTCCAAATCGATTTTCCACCCTTATGATAAAAAATGATCAATTTTCAAGTGCTGTTCACTGTTTCTTTATGACTATGAGCCATTTTTAAATATTAAACTAAGTAGGCAAAGAATAAAGCCAAAGGAGTTTTTAAACATCACCAAAATGCAAAATTTAAAAAAAAAAGGTGGCAGGCAATAATTTTATTTATGAAAATGTTTGGATGTAGGATCATTTTTGAGGCATATTTTATCTATTCCTTCTTACGTTTTCAATTTTAGAAAAAGAAAATAATTCGGTATTAAAAAAAGAAGTTTGGTTTTGTTCAAAGTCACATGGTGATGGTATGAAAAAATATTGGGCTTTATATTCAAGTCCAGACTACAGTGCTTTTTCTACAAATTCTTAAAATGTATGAACACTTTTTGGAATATTAGCCAGACGAAAAGTGGGTTAAAATTTCATATTAAACAGAATCTTATAGCAGAAAAGAAGAAATAAATTAATTTTCCACAGTAGTCTTTGTTAGCTTTTCGAGCCTTGTTTTAATTTTGTTAAAGTTATCCAACAAACATCTCGAGTTGATCTGTTAGGTTTTCTTGGAGTCTTTTTTTTTTTTTTTTTTTTTTTTTTTTTTTTTTTTGTTCACCAGAATCTGTCAGGTTAATTATGCCAGTTTGGATACATTTCTTCTGAAAAATTTTAAAAGCCTTACCTTATAATTTTATATTCCTGTGGTTTCTGTGTTATTCTACACATACCAGAGTCAGTGTTTCTTCTTTTTTTCTGCTTTTATGTATTAGCATCTGAACGTAGATATTATTTCATTAACTGAAGGACTGTAAATGTTGCATCCTGATGTAAATTATAGACTTATTTTTGGTAAGCGCTGTTGTGTAGATAATTTCTAAATATTTTGTAAGTGGAAGACTTGTTTGCTAAAACCCAAAGTTTATTCACCAAATTATTTGTAATTTTAATACAATGAATTATTTCCAATTTTGATATGATTTTACAATGGAATTTATCTTTTAATCATAAGATTTCCAATTTTGTGTGTATCCACATATAACTTATTTCCTTTCATTTAAAAGAATTACAGTTCTTCATATATTGATGGAATTTTTTGGAAGTTTGTATTTATTTCCGAGTTCCTTGTAATGAGCACAGCATAAAAATGAAAGGATAGCAAATGTTAGGCTAATGTATAACATTCTGAGAATGAAGTTCATTAAATCCCCTTCAATTCCTTGAATAGAAAAGTAAGTTCCATTATTTCTTCCTCTCATGGGATTGCTTACCAAATTGTGTAAACCAGTTCGTTGAGTAGAATCTACAGAAAAAAAAAATTTACAATGTAAAATGTGGTGTATCAAATTTAATATTTTACTTTGCTGATAAACACACAAAATACAGCAGTTTTTGCCACAACTTCTGTAACATATACAAAGAATCCTCTTTTGTAGATATCATATCAGAAAATATTAAACTCAAATAAATTTGATTATGGATTTAAATTTGATTTACAGTGGTGATCTGAACCTAAAATAGTGTACAGGCCAATTTTTTTAACAAAAAAAAAAGCAATTTTAAATTTTATTTACTAAATATTTGTATATATAAAACATATAAATAGCAACTATAAAGATGAAAAAACAAAAGTTTAGTTTATTTTCTGTCTGAAATCTAAAAGTTGGTATCTGCAAGAAATTTCTATTGGTAACAATTTGTAAGTAATCTGCATTAATTTTTATATTAAATTTTCAGACTGAAATTTATTTCAAATTATTCTAATATGGTAAGTTAACCACTAAATAAGATACTTAAAAAAAAACCAAAAAAGTTACGAAAACTTAGAACAAAACTTGAGAATGAATAATGAAAACTTGTTCTCATATTTCTGTTTACTAAATTTTTTTGACATTATTTGTATGTAAATAATTATAAACTTATTTCAGTATTTACGTATTTTCATAGCCACCTTAGCAGAAGTCGCCTAATCACATCCATTGAAAGTTACAATCCGAAAATCCACCAAATCACCTTGAGGTTCGAGTCCCAGCGAAAGCTTTGTGCATTCCTTAATTTTATTCTTATATTGCTTTATACTGAATATGCTATAGATTTCTTTATCTCATGCAAATGGCTGACTGAAATAAAAGATTCTCCACTTTCAGAACGTCTAATTATTTCCATCTTTGTTGCAATCATATGAAGTAAAAGAGTCCTGAATTTCTTTTTATTAACATCGATGCTGCTGTTTCTCTGTCTTACCCTTGTGTTTATAAATTTATATAGGCAAAATATTTAAATATAAACAAATAAATTGGCAAATACACTACACATGGATATTTGCCCTAATGCAAGGCTAAACCTGTTTAATACATTATATACATTTGAACCCCAACCTTGTTGCTTAGAACCCAAGGACCAGATAAGAAAGGTATAATATAAAGGTTTCTTATGATGTCTATGCTGGAACCATAGTGACATTACAATAATTCTGAGAAATCCACTACTTTGGAAGGCATGTGTGAGTGACCACTATGTACCATACTCCATGTGAGAGAATGCATGGAGGCAAACAATTTTTGCAGTACCGGAAAAAGTCTTAAAAAAATTTAATTTTTTTTTTAAATGGGCAAATTTTGCAAAAGTCGATGGCTTCCTGTACGCACTATATAAATTAACTATACTGTGGCACGGTCATTATAAATGACAAAAATAATATATATTGACAGCGATGGAAGGTATTGTAAAACTGTCATGGAAATAAACAACAGTATCTAATATGCTGCAAAATAAAGTGGCAGTAAAAACTACTTCTAAAATATGGCAGATGACAGAAACCAGGAAGAAGCAAAAATATAAGACAAAATGAAAATTTAGCATTCTGTCTAAGAAAGTCTTAGTTATATAAAAACCTTGTGACAACTCTGTAAGTGTTCAAAAGAGGCATAGTTCTTATAAATGTATAGCATTTCTGTCAAGCCATTAGTAAGTTGGCCATTAAAAGAAGAAAGAGTATATCTTGGATTTTATTTTTGCTGCTTTCTCATAGAACTTGAAAGTTTTATGTATGGTGTTTGCCTTTTTGGTAGTACAAAGTATGCTCTCAAATAAAAATGGAAAGAAGGTGGGCAAATTCGCTGCACAAGTGTCCAATACTTCAGGCTAGTGAAAGGTGCTCTTGACCTCACCCTTGATTATTCTTGAAGTTGTGTCTGGCATTTTACACCTAAATATGGAATAAAATCAATAATAAAAGTTACACCTAGGCCACATACAAGGGATTTTAACCCTGTGCTTTCAAGGTTTCACTCGGACGAACCAGCAACTCGGGATGATTTTCTGCATATTTGATGAATTTCTTACAGCTAACTTAAAATGAGTTTGCATACAGTTTAAAAAAATATAATGGTTCTTTCATATCTGAAGGTACATGTGACCCTGCGGCACTTTCGCCAGATGTAAAAAGTATTCTTTGCGATATTTCTTCTGATTTTGTGCACGTGATCTATTCTGAATTTTTTATCTGTTCCACGGAATCAATTTCACTTTTATATTTTCGTTTTCGCCATATTGTGCCTTAACTTCATAGTTATCTCCACTGCTCTCCTACTGTCTATCGTCAAATAATCTATGTGTAAACCTAATTTTGTTCTGCATCAATGAAAAATCGAACTATTTTCACTTCAACTGTTCCCATCATCGTACTCCATGCTTATTGGGCTCAGAACTTTGAAATACACTGGTTATCATTGATTAAGGAAAAATGACGATTACTCAAAAAATTACATGTAGAATTTAATGAAGCAGACCCACAATATTCAATACATAGTAAAGTATAAAGTCTTACTTAGTTTGTTAAAAAAAAGAAGAAATTACAAGATAAAAAGAAATTATCAGGCATTATGATGTTGACATACGTATGTGATATTTTGGCAGTCGTGAAGCTCGGCATCAAGGTTCTGGCATGGCTTTTTGCAGAGTGGTAAGGAGGATATCCAAAGACGACACAAATTGATTCAGCTTTTAATTGCCCATTTTTATTTACTCCAATTAACAGATCATTTTCCTTTTAGATGACACTCTTTAAATTGCATATCCATAGTGGTTTTTAACTAAGTATGATTGAATTTTGACTTTCTGCGTCATAACATTCTAACAAAGAAAAGAAGGATTGACATATCAGCGCGGAATATACCACAGTAGGAGAGGTGAGCTTTTGACGCAAAATGGCGCGCATTCATTATTTATAGTAGCGGTTACACAATAAGCTAGCAAATTCTAGAAGGTACTGGTCTAGGGAGAAGATCCTGAATTGCAGAAAATTAATTGAAGGTTGCGTGTTCACGAAGAGCAAAGCCATCGTATTTTTTTATATTTTACATGTATAAAATGAAAAAATGTATCAGTTTAGTATATGAAAATTATTTTCAATTATGGAGTATGATCTTCCCTAGACGCAACAAAGTATGTACAGCAATGTACGATGCTGTTAGTTTTCAGTACGTCAGTTCCTAAGGAAGTGAGAGCCATTACTTTTGCAAAGCAATTTCAAGCATGGCAAGTTTCTGAAGAGGAGGATTGAAAGCAGTTATACATCTCCCTAAAAAGCATCTGTGACATCCTCAATAGGATTTAGGTCCGAGGATCAAGCTATCCATTCCATGCACTGAATAGTTTGCTGTGCAGTCTAGCGTTGTCGTCTTGTAGCAGGGAATTATAACTTAATGCCTGGCATAAGGGCACAAGAGTGTCATCTCTATAGGTCTGAGCATACATGGTTTTACTTCGAAAGACATGGAGGTCTTCGCCTCCACCCAAAGAGATACCACCCCAAACTCAGGCACTGCCTTCTCCGTATTCATCTCTTTCACGGATGTTTGGTGGATGATTAACGAGTTCCATGTTTCCTCCAAATCATATAACAAAATTTGCAATTTTATGCTCCTCGTATTTCGATTGTAGTGCCACTAATTCGCATACTGCAGTTTTACTCAGCAGTTGTTATTTGACAACATATTTAATGTGATTTTTCTTTAATTTTCGGAAACGAGTGTAATATGCCTATTATTATCACGACTGTCGAGTTCAAACTAACGTTGAAGATACATATATAGCAATAAATCTAAAAAATATATTTAAAATTAAAGATTGACCGTTATTTTATACACATGTATTGGGGAGTACATTCATCAAGCGATATTTTCCAAACCAAACCTAAATAAACATCATTATCGGCGTCAAACCGACTGGTGATTTCGAGTTGTCGTATCAGTTCAAGTGGGGGTGCAATGGGTTAAGATTTAGAGCACTAACCATTCCATGGTCGTTCTTATCGTATGCCAACAGATAAAAAATTGATTTGCAAAGAGGTCTGACCTATAATGAAAGTCGGATTTATCTCATAAATTTCTTTCTCTGAGCCATTTCCACCTCTTCTGGAGGATAACTGTTCTCCTACAGTTGCAGGAAACTCTTAACTAGTTGGCAAACTGTCTTGCTTTTGCCACTTAGAGTTATTAGTTGAGATATTATCTTGGATTGATATTGCCCTTTGAAAGACAGAGTACTTGATGCTTATATCATATGGACTTCTCAGGAGTAGAAGGAGAAATTTATTCAAAATTTAATTGTTGTTCATTCTAAAACTAATTTTACTGATCTTTTAATATTTCAATACCTTTCCCTCTATTGCTTTCCTAACTGAGAATATAGTCTTTGAAAGTAGATGGTTTTCTCTAATGAGACTTTAGTTCAAATACTTCATGACATATTCAGTATTCTTGTAGGAGGCAAGTAGAAGCAAAGATTCATTAGAGCTAAGATGAACATCTTCCATTTTTAATGATTTGAAGCTGTGTTTAAAGCTTGCAATGATTTTAATTTATATTCCCTTTAATTATTTCAATATATGTGATACCATAACAAATATATCAAAATAATTAAAGGTAATATAAATTCAATAAAAAAATACAAGGGGGATCTTGGAAAAATATCTCTTTCCACAACTTAATGTATATTTTCCTCAAGGAAGTGCAGTTTTTCAACAAGCTGATAGCCCTTGCAATACATCCAAAATCCTAAAAAATTATTTTACTTCTAAAGGGTTTCAAATGCTAGTTTGGCTTGTAAATAGTTTTGATATGAAGACCATTGAAGGATTATGAGAAAATAAAAAATATTTTCAAACACACAGTCCATGAAAAGGAAATAACAAAGATGAATAAATTAATTCAAAGATCCCAGAAAATATATAGACAACAAAGATCTATACAGCAATGCAAAGCCTTTATGGAAAGAATGCCCGTAATAATCCAGGCAGTA